GTATATAAATCTGAAAATTAAACTATTCTTGAAAACCAACTTAAACAAACCATTCTTTTTCAAATTGCATGCGTCTCATCATTTATTCCCCGCTCTTTAACATATAGAATGTGGTTTAATGGTCTAAGTCCTTTATAGAATCGATTCCTTTGATTAGTTTAATTTGAATAACATCAATATGGCCAAGTCTACCTCATCATTGTTGCTTATAATTGTGATTGTTATGATGAGTTATCATCAAAATAATCACAATGATAAGTGACGACAATGAGGTAGATTTAGCCAATACTTAGATTTTATTCAAATTAAACTATAAGAGAAGATATCGATGTAATGAAGGATCGTATTATTGAACTATATTCTATAAGTTAAAGAGAGGTAAATGAACGATGAGACATATGCAATTCAGAAAACATTGATTGATATAAGTTGGTTTTCAAATACAACTTAATTTTCAGATTATAAGTTTATATGTCAATTTAAATAAATGTATTTTCAGCAAAAGGTTTGTGAAACAAACAATATACATAGCATATAATAAACTCAACTTCATCTACTGTAACCCTGCATAAGAGTTTAAAGCACAAAACGTTGATAAGCCACAAGAAGCCTCTTTCTTGTGACTTAGCAATGTTTTGTTTTTGTTCTGAGAACATTTATCAACAACAACATACAACAATATAACAAATAGATACAACAAAATAAAAATAAAATATACCTTTTAGCAACAAAATACTAACAACATACAACAACACAAGATATAATAAATTTTTTCAAGAATACACCTTTTATTAAAACTAATCGTGGAACTGGAACAAATTATGAAGTTCATCTAGTTTATGATAACTTAAGAAAGAACAACATAGAAGGTGAATTATGATAAATTAAAGATAAAGACTTAATTAACCTTAATTAAGACGATCCTTTACATTTTGTCATTGATCATTTGTGGTTTTCATCTTTTTCTTCTATGTGATATTATTGTCTTCATCAAAATACAATCAAGCTTCTAAAAGATATTTTTTTCACAAAGGTTTCACCCCCACTTTGTAGCTAGCCATTACAAAGGGTGAGATGAACCCCCATCACCTCGACCTCAAACCAAGTTTTCACATGGGTATGGAAGGGGTACTGACCCTTAGCCAATCATAATCCTCAACAAAGTCTAATAAAGCTTCAAGCTCAACCTAAAAAAACCAGCTATCTCCCAGAGCAAGGAATTAAGGATCTAGGATAAAAATCGGGAGATGTAAAAGCAAAATCAAATGATAAATTGAATGCAAACATTTTCATACGTGAACACCTGAGTTATGTACCTCAAGGTATGCCAGGCAGAATTAACCCGGGTAAAAAGGGCCGAATAAACCCTAAGGGAGAACAACTTTATTGCATATGATTAACTAATATGATAGATTTCAAAAAGGAACTTATTCAAGGAAACAATCGATAGGAACAAGGCATATATGTCACTTACCAAAGACAATATTCCTTTCTTCTTTAGTGCTAGCATCCACAAATAGGCTGGTCTCAACGAACCATTTCAGCTGTTTCCTCTACACTCTGTCAGAAGGAGCGATACCACCAACATAACCAAGCTCGTAGAAAAGGCCACTAGTTGCCTTTTCAAGTATATCTCTTCCTGCGAAATGTCATATTCCTTGTAAATATATGATTTGTTTCCCATCAAGAAATGACCATGGCATTAGAATTTACGAAATATATCTGAACATATGTATTTAGGTCCTCGTTCTATTTTACATATCTTAGCATGAGCTTCTCTATTGACAAGAGTGACCAAGAAGAAGATCCTTGAAATGCTTCACTCTGTCAAATTATGTCTAAAAGAATATGGAGAATTTCCTCATAGAAAGAAGACATAGGCCCCGTGTGGGATTAGTTGTACATATCTTAGCATATCCCCTTTATATCAGCAAAGATATTGAAAAACCTTGACAAATCCCTAGCTCACCGGGTACAAATGCGAAGGGGCGATTATTAAATGATTCAAGATGCATATTTCAAAGTCTTTGAACAAAAGACAGAAGCATATGAAGAAGAATAGGAACTTGTGGAAGGGAATGACACACCCTTCGTATTCTTTACATAACCTCTTGCCTTCATCTGGCAAGAGCACCCCTAAGTCAGATGAAGGTCCCATCTCAGTAAAAGGATGGTCCATGCCACCCTAACGAGTGAAAGTGTATGTGGTCTCTAATGTCTTCCGATCCGCCCAATATGCCAAGATGTCTTTCTTTGCCTTACGAAGCATAGTTGGCACATTCTCCACAGTAAAAAAACTCTACAAAAAATGATCAAGTTCAAATGTAAATATAAACACTCATATCAAAGGGTATAAACGACAAGGTAAATCTATTAAAAGAAAAGTATAAGCATTAAAAGTCCTAGCACATTCTCTTATAATGAGTTGCCACCTAGTAAATCTCCTTTTTAGACCTTACTACTATTTCCAAAAAAACTCTAACGAAAAAGGTGGGAACAAAAGAAAAGGAAAATGAGTATTACCTTAAGGGTGATGAAGCCGGAACTTTGTGTAACAAGAAGAGGCAATATGAGCAAATATGGAGTAAGCTTCATGTGGAAGAATTAACAGCAACGTTGAATGTTACATATAAAGTGAAGAAGAAGAATGTTCTAAACTCTTCAAGTGACAAAAAATTAGAAAATGGCAAGTTAAAAAACTCTTAAGTTATCCTCACTATAGAGAACCTAACAATCTTATAAGGTAAAAAGTAAGATTTGCGCAACCAATTATCTAAATCTCCTTGAAGATCTCTTCGAACACTCGAGTATCCTATGATATAAGGGTTATCTTCACTGATAATGGAAGGGACACACATCAAGAAATTCGTGTGAAGCAACATCCAGTGGACAAAATGTATTTAATGCTCATATTCCTAATGTTAGAGTGATAACCAGTCTAGAAGCGTACACAAGAAAACACTCACCTTATAAAACAGCGACAAGGGCTTTGAGGGGAACTATTTTGTGCCGCCCAAAAGACCCAATACAAGAAACCCAAAAGAGAACACTAATAAAACACACATGGGACATGTGAACACTCACTATGAACAAATGGTTGAGATTTTAACCTCTTACACATCATATGTAGTACAAATAGTTAGATTGTTAACTACACAACACATCACGTCCCACACGAGTTATTTTAACCGCCTCTAGTATATAAGAAAGATTGTGCGCCTTTTTTAGGT